GTTAATCTTACTGATGAATTTTGTTTTGTCATTTATTTAATATTAAAAATTAAATAAGAAAAAAAATTATTTTACTTACATAAATTTGTATGCGTAATTTTAAATTCAAGTTTATTCAAAATAATTATTTATTCAATTGAAATAAAAGTTTAAACAATAAATATTTTTTTAAATATGAAAATTTTCAAAATCAAGGGAACTGGAAAAATAATTATCATTGATTTATATATTTGAAATTAGGATGTTATTATCAAAGTACTTTTGATCCAAAAATTATCCAAAGTATTTTGAAAGAGATCAGATCACTTATAATATATTAATAGAAAAATGTTTTTATTTCAGTTAAAAGTTAGGTAAAAATATTCAATAGTTTATGATACGTTGATAAACATTATAAAAAAACATCTATCAGAAACAGGCAGTCAAGAAGAAAGTCAGGTCAAAAATTAAAAAAGACTTTTCAGGAAGGAATACCAACTAAAAAGTTATAAACTAAACAACTTTTTATTTATAGTGTGCTTAAGGAGACATTTTCTTCATTCTTTTAAATTCATAAACTAAAATTTTATTCTGAAAATTTAATAAACTATTTTTTTTATCACAGAATGACCTTATTCTCTAAAGACATTTTTTTTACTTTCTATCATATTTTCACAATTAGAGTACTGAAAAAATCTCATTATTTTGTGATCATCTAACTTTAATTTAATTTGCCAAACTTGATAAGAATCAAGGTTTCTAAATACCTTAATAATTTCTGTATATTTGAGAATACAGAATTCTATATACAGAAAATAAACAAAAACAAAAAATGAAATATCTAACATTTAGTTATTTTATATATTTTTTCAAATAATGAACTTATTTAAGAAGAACACAATTTATTAATTAGAACTAAACTGATTGCTATAACAACAATACAAAACTAATTGGACGGTAAAAAAAAACATAAAAAAAGCACCAGCGGATAAAATTTAATAAATAAAATAAAAAATATTACAAGTTGTATTTTAATTAAATAATAAATTACAGTAAAAGTTCAATATAATAACAATTCACAATAGTAATGGAAAATGCCATTATAGCGAGCTTGTTTTCATAAACAAATTAACATATTTAACGCTAAAATGTAAATGGGTATCCTTTTACACACTAAACTTCCCTAGCATTAAAACAAGCTAGAGACTAACATCAAGTCGCCAAAACACAACACAAAATACAATGAAATGCTTCATTAATAGCACTGAATGTGAATTTCAATTGCGAGCTGTCAAGAGGGAAAGCACGATAGATTGTGCTAAAAAGGTGCATTCTTTTGAAAGTATGCAGAAGAATTTCCAAAAACAGCAAAAGAATTTCTTTCTAGGAGGATTATAACTTATTTGGTGGTCACCAACACATACTTGCTTTATTAACGTTTAAAGGTGAAAGCAATGAAATGATGCCCAATTTTGATTTTTTTTTCTTTTATATTATTACCATTTTCATGTACTTAATGTATTAGCATTTTAATTGTCACTTGGAAACTCATCTCATATACAAATTCCTAGCAATATGCTGTACTCATTATTATATTGAGCTTTTATTATATCATAGTGAAATCATAACAGCACTTTGTATTAGAAAAAATAAGGCTAAAAGAAAAATATATTTTATATTAGGAATAGCAGGGCAACTATGACCCCTGACAAAAAAAGGAAATATCTAACCTTTTATTAGATCTTTCTTCAAATACATATATTTAACTTAATACTATTTAATGAATTAATTTTAAGAACGAAATTTATTGCTATTAAGTACAATGCAAAATTGGGTGTAAATTATTTTCAAAAAGCTTTATAACATTAGTTCTAAAAATGATTGAACTTCAATGTTCAGAATATTTCAACAAAAAACAGTAAAAACTGTGAAAAAAATATTTTTTTAAAGATGGTAAATACCTGACATGGTAAATAATTTGGTAACCCTAATCCTCACTGACAATACAACCCTACTGATAGTCTAACTTGTGATTGCCAAACAACAGAATAACATCAAACGAAACCCCTGTCCTGTTTTAACCACATGACTTTGTTAATGAATTGTATGTTTTTAAATTGCTTTTCACTTTTAATTTCAGAAATTTTTTACGTTCATTTTCAGATTTGGCATGATTGATAAAGTAAAACTAAGTTAGTTTTAAGAGAGACATAATGCATATTGACATGTATTCTAGAAAAGAATATAAATATTATAGGCAGTGAACACCCTGTAAATTACAGAACAGCGATGAGACATCTGTGCAATTCAAATGCAATGACAGAAAAATTACTGTCAGCAAGGATCTAATCTGCCCCATAGAAACTGGGTCCTGGAAGTTTTTGTACTTGTCCCCACCCAGAGAAAGATTGGGTGTTCTCCATTTCCAGCATTCACATGGCGGGTCCATGAACATGAACATGGTGGGTCCGCAAAATTAAAAGTTCCTAAAATGTAAGTTAAGAACTTTTCTAGAATGGTCTAAAAATTGGTTTCAAGTAACAACTGTATTCTTGCATGAGCAAGAGTATCACGATACCCAATTTCTTAATATGATTCCAATTTCAAAAATAGTTTTATAATCTATTATTGCTTTTATTAAAATTTATCAAGTCCTTTAAATTGTAAGGTATATGAAATTTTATATAATCTTAAGCATTAAAGTACCTTATTTTATAACTGACAAAACCCATTGCTCAAACATAACCAGTTGAATAGCTATTGAGAAGTACATTTAAAAAAAGTCATACTTTAAAAATTTTATTCTTTAGTTTCAAACATTACTTTTCAACACCTAAAAATTCAAGAAATTTTGGACTTCTAATAAAGTGATTATTGAGTAAATATTTCTTAAGGTAAATGAATTTAATATTTGAGTAAAAACATTTCCTCACAATTAGATCTAGGGAGAGAAAAAAATATGTAAATAACATAAGTTTAAACTTCTTATTTTTTAAATTGTCTCTGCCTATAACGTTTTGAAAAATATTTATTTTTCTTCTGAAGAATTGGTTTTGTGTTTAATTTTGTATAGAAATAAATGGCTAATTTTTTTTCCTAATGCGTTAACATTTTGTCAATTCAGGCATTTACAAGGCTTATTTGTTGGTCACTCTTTCAGGGGCACCATATTAGGTGGGCCAATGATGCTCCCACAGTAAGGACAGATAGTTCAGAGAATGAAAGAACATTCATGCCACGCCAGGATTCAAATCCAGAACCTTTTCAATGGAAGACCAGTTCCCTGATCCCTACAGTGCAGTTGGCTTGATAGTTAATATAGTAATTACCAATATTTTTTTAAATCAACAAAAAAAGCTTATATTATTATAATGTGTAGTTAAAAGAATCATTTAGATGTACAATTTAAAGAGTTTAAGCCAGGATAAATGATGAAACCCAAGCAATTAATATGTATTCTTAAATTATACGAAATATTTTTGTTGAAGACATCGGATGACTATGATAAAAGCAAATGAAGGATAGTAGTTTTTAATAATTGCCACAAAAACGTGATGTTTGTGCTTTAATTATTATTTGAAACAAGTATAAATTCATTAAATAACCATAAATAGTTTAAACACTAAATTTAGAGTATTGCTTTTCTTCATAAAAAAAAAGAGCTGGAGCAGTTTGTTGTAGCACAGGGTGCTTTGATTTGAAAATAAAATCTTAATAAAACAGTGTCTTTCAATGAAGAATGTAGTATAAGGTGAAATTTGGCATTTGCCGCCTTCTCTAAGAACCCTATCTGCAAACTTCAAAGTTAAGAATCAAATTTACAAGACTTATCAACAATGCATAGGAGAGAAATTAATTGATGTTAACTGTCAATCTTATTAACCCTTAACAAAATAAAACCCACGAAACTCTTCAGAACCCTTTACACCCAGAGAGCCACACAAACAACACTTGGTCGTAGTTCACATGTAGATGTATTTTTGTGACGTTTTATAATTAAGAGATTAATATTATCATTTTAAAAATATATCAGTTATTGTAAAAGACAGAAATAAAGTAAAATAAATCGAAAATTAAAATATTGTATACAAGATTCAACAATACACTGGGGCTTAGTTTTCAGAGCAAAATACAAAACAAAAATCTACATTGCACATTTTTATGTGCACTGAAGATGATGTATAGCATTGAAATTTGCACGTATTTTGAACATATATATTTGAGAACTATTTTTTATCTTGTATCTGTCTTTTCTTATCATTCTCGAGGTTTTTGATCTTCTTAATATGCTAGTCGTAATTTTTTATAAATAACCATCTCAGGATCGCTCCCCTGAAATCTGTAAAAAAAAAAATTTGTTTTAACCCTGTATACATTATAATAGCAGGAAACACAATTATTGTGCTCTTGTGTGAGGAAAAAAATAATGTATTGGGATAACTATATTATTTTTAATTGCTGAAAAAACTTAAGAGAAAAAAGGAACAGCTGAACATACTTAAAAATGCCACAGTAGATGAAATATCCTTTAATACCCCACATATTGCACACTGAGTAATCACCATTTTTAAAAAGACTAAAATAAGAAATATAATTCCTAGCATTCTTCCTGTTATTTTAGGTGATTTTTTAATTCCCTGTATTTTCAAAGGTGCTACCAGAAGTCGCAAAAGCGAAATGCAATGTCAGGCAAAAGAGTTTTTGACTTTCAGTGTTGATAAGTATAATTCCAAAGAAACACAAAGTTTTTTTCATCACTTTATTATACAACAAACTTTAGTCAACAGAAAACAAACAAATAAATGTAACACATACAAGCAACATATAAAGCTAACTTATCAAAAATGCACCTATTTCTAAGTATTCTGAGTTAGACATACATATTTAACAGCTAGCACCAAAGAAAAAATATATAACTAAATGTTTTTGAGATTCTATATATTCCATTATGTTTCTTTTTCATAAAGCATTGCCTTATTCACATTTTTGAAAACACAAACAGCCACTGTTTTACATATTCCTTCTGTGGGACTAGGAGTGGAGCATTATCACATTTATTGTCGGGATACAACCTCAAATGTAACTAAATTTATTTTTAATCGGAAAACAAAAATTAAATAAATTGAAAAAAAAAGGATGGAATGTCTTTCAGGGTGTGTAGCCAAATCTTTCAACAAAAAATACGCACCTTTTTAAGCACTCAAGAAAATCTTTTAAAGCACTATATACATTAACAAAATGCAAAATAATTTTCAAAGACTTTACATGATCATGATAAAATAACTAGTTTCTGACAAAGAACTCTTTTCTTGATTACCATTATAGCTCATACTTAGCCATTATAAAATGATCAAGAGATTTTTTGGTTCAATATCAGAGGGTGGAAAATGAAGCCTGAAATTGAGAATATCTTGCAAATTGCAGTAAAGTTGCAGATGAGAGAGCAATAATCTCACCGAACCCAGCTCAGTGGATGCACATGCAAACTCGCAAGTATTTCATCAAACATGTAAAATGATTGGCACTTTCATAGGCTATGGACGACAGTACGCCCAAAATAAATTGTGGTTGAATGAATTGGAAAACGTGTAATAGAACAATGTGAAAAGCATGCTTTTGCATAATACATAGTGAAAAAGCACATGGTAAAGAAAAAATGATTTTCGAAAAGGGAAGATTAAGCGCTTTTTAAGAACACCCAATGAAAAAAGCATCTTTAAGCACTTTTTAAAAACGCTACACACCATGTCTTTAAGTGTGTTGCAAAAAATTAAAATAAAAACCAATAAGGTTACAAGATTAGTAAATAAATCTATAATTAAATTACATTATTGAAAATGCATAATAAATTATAAAAATAATTGAAACAATTTAGTAGTAGTTCATTTTGATTGAATAAAAAATACAATTACAGGTTTACTATTGTTGAATATAAAGGAAATGATAAAAAAAAATGCTTTATTAAAAAACATAGCAGAAAATATTCATTTATTTATAAAATTGTAAAGAATTTTTAAATAGCAAAGCTTTTGAAAATTTTAACAGTTATTTTGCTTATTTAATACAAAATTATATCAATGAGGTAGTATAACTCCCACAAATATTTGTACTTTACCACCACTGAAGTAAATACAAATTCTAACCAAATTAAATAAGGGACACAGATAAAATTTCACTAAAAAATAGCTATGTCATATTCTGTTGATTCGATTTACGATCACAAACACTTAAAGAGTATGCTATTAACATAAACTTCTCCAAAAACATAAATAGGAATCAATTTAAAGCAAATTATTATTTATATATTTACACATTTGATCTTCCCCTTTAGCAGAACAATGAAAAGTACCATTTCCTAGAAAATAAAAATAAGAATATTAGATACACAAATTACAAATTTTTTTTATATAGTTTAAAACATAAAAAAATATAAACTAAATTAATAAATAGAAACTTCACTTGGTTAAAACAGTAAAATAATAGTCAAATTTAGTGAAATCTGAAATAGCGAAAATTTCAATGTAACAAATCATTTCAGAATCCCCAAATGAATCTCTATGGAAATAATGGAACAAAATAAACAATATTACGAAATTGATAATTTGATTTAACAAAGGTGAAAATAAGCAACAATTCTCATTTCTTCTTATGATCAAAACCCTTTTCCATTCTTCAAAAGTACACAATGATCTCAAAATTCATATATTTTTGCAACTTCAAAATAAAAGGTTTCAGATATGAAAGGGACATATCAAAAAAGGCTGATCATGTGAAAGGGACCGCCCTGAAACCCCAAACCATTCATGTTCGAAGAAGTAAAAATACATGTGGCTTTTCAAAAGAGTGATTTCAAGTTCAGTTTTTGAAAACGTGCATAATTTGGAGAAGTTTGTAATTTTTACTGGTTCTAAATAATTTGTATAGAAAAAAACTATGGATTACATAATTTCTGATAGGTAAGTGATACATAAATCCATTGTTCCTTTTAATTGAATTGTTTTTGTGAGCTTTTAAAATATTGGTTAGTTAGTTAGGGTAAGAGCTTAGTTAGGTTGTGAGCTTTCAAAATATTGGTTTTGGTTAGTTAGGGTAACTACTATTATACTATCTTATAAATCATCATAATACAATGAACTACTTAATTTTATATAATTAACAAAATAACTTTTCACTTAACCTTGCTTACCATTATTTTTTACCACTAAATGTATGTCCTTCTTGTAAATACAAAAACACAGATGAAAAGTCTCGATGTGGAAATCCACTGTTTGACATAATACGATAAATTTGGTGAGCTAAAGATCCTAAAGGAGTGGGTGATGATGTCTTAGTTGCAGCTAATTGAGCTAATCCTAAATCCTGAGGAAAAAGAATAATATATATGAGATAGTTTTAACAAACATAAAATTATTAACAAGCTTTTTGTAATACTAAACCAGTGATTCTCAACCTTTTTTTTTTCTTCTTGCAGCACACTTTTAACAATTTCGAAATTTGGTGGCACACAAAGAAAAAATAAGTTTAAAAATTTTTTACTTAACCTATAATACACTGTGTAAAATAGTTTATGATAATAATTTTGAATGTAAAATAAAATAATTGTACTACAAAAACAGCAGTACGTTTATTAAGGGACTAATTACAAGTTAACTGCTATCATTAGATTTTCTTGCTATTTATTGATTGTTAGCTTTTTTTTATAGTTATTAATCGTTAGTTTTTTTACATGCTATTTTTTTGTTATTCTTTGTTAACTTGTTTTTTTGGGCTAATTATTAATTGTTAGCTTGTGTTTTTGTTAGTCATCCTTTGTTAATTTGATTTTATAACTACTAATTGCATAGCTTATTTTAATTGTTAGCTTTTATTTCCTTTTGTAAGTTAATATTTCAGTTGCTTTCTTTTGCTAATTAGTAATTACTCATTTTAAGATTGCCAGAAACAGGACTATCGTCGACACAGCGGTAAAGTATGGAAAATTTTTAAAAAAAGTACATAATATAATATTATATATATACTTTTATTTAAATTAACCTTACTGGTAATGAAAAAAGCATTATAATTTTTACCATATGACTTATAAAATTTGGCGGCATACAAAAGTGCTGCAGCACAGTGGTTGAGAATCACAGTACTTAACAGTCAGGGCCGGATAAAGAGCCTTAGAGGCCCTAAGCACTAAAAGGATATTGATGCTCCTTAAATGTAATTAAAAATATCAACACAAATAAAAAAATATTTTTTTTAATATAATATAGTTAAGTAAACAAAAATAAATTTATATAACTGCAAAATTAAATAGTTTTTGCAGAGGGTCTGTAATGGGAATCAAAATTTTTCAATTAACTCTTTGAAGAGTTTTCAAACTAATCACATTTCTAATTTTAGAGCCAAACTAAAATAATTTTGACAATCCTGAAGTTTTATTTTTGAAAAAATTCCCTGTCCCACAAGCTATTAATTTTCATTTTGATTCCATAAAATATAACATATTTTAATTAAACTTTCTGAGTGTACCATTATGTCTTTTAATGTTTTTTAATTTTTTGCTAAAAATTAAGTGAAAAAAATACTTTTATTGTGGGTCTCAAGTAACAAAATCATGTAACGAAAAGCATCGAAATTTTGACCCTTTTCAAACATTAACAGGTCAAAAACTGAGAGCTACGTTTGTGAACTGAACCATATGAACCAATGAAACTTGAGAACCATGTTTCATAAACGGACTAAAAAGAAAAAATAATTTTATTTTTGTCACATCAAATTTTGTGTCATCAACAAAAATTATAGGCGCATCACTTTCTTAAATTATTTTATTCTACATTATAATACAAAATAAAATTTTTATTACAATCAATTATTACAGGGTGGCCACTCAAATCAGGTTTCAAATTTCCCTGATTTTTCCAGGTTTTCCAGTAAGAATCTTAAAATTTCCAGGTCAGAGTGTTTTTTTTTTTGTCTTCTGCTAAAGTGTTGTATGTTATATGTTATTTTTTATTTAAAGTGTTATTTTTTTAATATATCATCTTGAATAGATATGGAGGAAACATGTTTAGCTTGCAGAAAATAACACTTTTATTGAATAAAAAATATTCTTAAGTGCTAAATAGCTTTTGCACAGAATGTACCAAATAGCTATGACCCAAAACAACTTTAGATAAGTACTGTTTAATATACTTCTATTAAGGAAAAGAAGATAATTCCAGGTGATTAGAAACCAATAAATTTTTATATTTATCTACATTTCAATATAGAGCCATTTTATACTGTATTTTATCCAAACAGTGCTCTTTATAAAATTCATTGAAATAATTTTCCTTAAATCAATATCATAAGTCAAATGTTTAAATAATGTTGTTTGTTTCGAATTAGCACTATTATTTTAAGGCATATTCAGCATTTGTAAAGGAAAAATTTTTAAATTTTTTGTTCAATATTTCATAGAAGAAAAAAACTAGATAAAATTCTTAAAATTTTATTCTTTTTCTTATTAGAAATTTGAATATATTAAGAATTCCAATCTAACATGGTTTCCTAGTTTAGATAAGATAATTGTTTTTACATCTAGGCAACTCTGTGGTGTCAGAAAAAAATTAACATTAATTTCTTAGAAAAACTATCTTATAAAACAAAAGTTTATAATCATCAAACTTTTACATAAATATTTAATATATCATAAACCTATCGAAAAACAATTTGTTTAATAAAAACTGATTATTATAAGTTCAAATTAAACGGATTATTAAATGGCTGTCGGATGTAAATTGCATGAAAGCAAACAATGATTACTAATTTATAAATTGTCTAAACTCTGTGAATTAGTTTGTAATTTAAATGCAAACTCGACTGAATTTTGAAGCAGACATTTAAATAAAAAATTCGATGCAGTTGCTTGTGAAATATGATACATAGTGAATTCGAAATTTTTTACTTCAGTGTCAGACTCAAATTTCTCAAATTGGATAGAAATTTAAATTAATGATAACCATTATAATGACTGAAAATAACTTTAATTTTAATCTTAATGCTATAAATATTAATTTTCAATTAAATAGCTTCCTTAAATTTAAATTGTCTTATATTTCCTGTTGGAATGGTTAGATTAATATGTTTTATAACATTTTCCATCTTATAAAAGTTAGTTGAAAAATCACTCATTTTAACTATACAACGTATATTAAGAACAATGTAATATATTAAAAACAATATAAATAAAACTCATATTTAAGCAATATTTTCTTAAATTTAATCATTTAAAAAATCATGCAATAAGAAAGTGTTTTTGTTTTTTTTCATTTTTAAAAGAAATACGGGAAAAAATTTTGAAAGAAATCACTAGTTTTATATCCAATAAAAAAAAATTCTATTGAAAAGAAAAATAATCACTGTACATTAAAAATAAAAACATTTTTTTACTGTATTATTAGCCTATAACAAATTTTTCTGGGCACAGGAAAAAAAAATAATAATAGCTTTATTTATTGCCTGCATAAAATTAAATAATCTCTTTGTAGCAGACAATATTTACCGATACTTACTTTTTCTTCTATTTAGTGGCATAGCTAGCAATGAACAAGAAAGAGCATATGTCCGTTTGTAGCATAAAAGATGGGCCAAAGTTTTGAAAAAAAATTAAAGATTAATTCCAGAATAAATTTTTCTCTCTTTTTAATACCCCCTCTTCAGTTTTGTTGACCAATTACAGGACCAATAAATAACTAATGATTTTTATCCCATTTACCTAAAAATTGAATAGGATGTGAGTTATTGTTGTAGTTTGCTATGCAAGTTGGTTTAATATTTTTTTCACAAAATTATTTTTTTCTTAACTCAAAAAAAAAAATAAATAAATAACTACAGAATGTTCTGAATTTTTTTCTCTCCAAATAGATAAATTTTTCAAGTTCTAAGCAAAATGATTGATTGAAAATGTACTAAATGAAGTGAAATTGTTACTAAAATAATTAAAACTGAGGTGCTTACCTCAAATAAATACATAAAATGAAATTAAAAAAATATCTAAAAACTTCATGGATCAATTTTAAGTTATAATATAAATAATGAACAATTAATTAATTCAGCTCACAGACTAAAAGCAGATTTTTTAAAAAAAAACTACTTTTATAAACAGAAGCAAATATACTAATCCTTTATTCCGCATTCACCACATTTTTGTCTTTCCTAAATTGCAGAGTCCCATAATCACCAAAGAGGTCAAAGATTTCTCCATTCATTTCCCAACATAAAAGAGTTTGAAATGACATTTTAGTTTAGCAGGGTAATAATGAAGAGAATTTTAATGCAAGTAAAGTATTGCTGAGTTGATGATATTTCAACTATTTTACATTAAATGTACATCTAAATAAAAGTGGATATAACGGATGGTAAAATAATTTAAAGTAAGAGAAAAATTCCAGCTTTTCTTTGAAATTCCCTGATTTTTCCAGGTTTTTATCCAAATTTCCCTGATTTTTCCAGTGTAAAAAAATTCCCTGATAATTCCAGGTGGGTGGCCACCCTGTATTAATTACACTCAATTTATTTATAACAGTCAAAAACATTCTGCACATTTAATGTGTTGAATATACAGTTAAAGTTCTGAATTAATAATAAGTTAACTTTATAATTAAATGATTATATCTTACTATATTTTGATTTCTTGTCTGCGAAAATAAACAACAGAAAGTAAGTTTTGTATTTATGTCATCGACTGATAGAGCGATTTCTGTATAAGGCACAATGTGCTTGTATAATATTTATATATAACAATAAAACAATGTGGTTATATTTTATAACAAATCTAATACACGCAATGTTATTTTAAGATAATTATGTGCTTAGAAAAATATTACATTTTCTTTCTATAGCAAGATAATCATAAATTAGAAAAATTTAGATTATGGAAAGTTTTATTAGCATACAGTCCTTCACGCTTAATTGCATATGAGCTAAACTCACTTATACAAAATAATAATAATATCACCAAATTCTTTTATTATATGAAAATGTTAAATCTCTTCATAATTTTTGTTAAAAGGTAAGTGAAAAATATTTTTATTGTGGATCTCAGGTTAATATTCCCATAAAAAAGACAGATTTTAAAGAATTTTTATAGGGAATACTACAAAAGCATATAAAAGCTCAATACAGTATAAAAACAAAATTAATAATCAATACAACAAACAACTCTGTCCACTATAAACAGAATTCAATACCAGTTTATTAACAAACAGGAAATATCTCAAAAAGATATTTGATCACTTTCTAAGTAGCTGAAATGCTTCAAATTCAACTCTTATTCTATTGACAAAACAAGTTACGATTGCTTCCGAATAACTGATGTTTCAGAAGCTGGT